AACAAAAAAACCAAACCCGAGACTAAACAATTTTCTTCGCCGTCTGTGTGGGAAAGATGGCGGAGGATTTCGCTAGGGCGGTGGACGATGGTCTTAAACTCGCGAAACGGATATATTTCGGGAAAGACAGAGCGGTTGCGGCGCCGAGACCACCGTCGACGATGGAGAGATCGTCTACGACGTCGTCGGCGACGCAGGCTTATCTACCTTCGGCACCGATGGTTTACGCCGTTGTACCCGACCCGGGAATTGTGGATAACCCGGACCTACCTAGCTATCAGCCTCACGTGCACGGCAGGTGCGACCCACCGGCTTTGATTCCTTTGCAGATGAACGCGATTGAGCTCGACGTTGATTGTTATCTCGACACGGCTCTTGTTACCGTCACCGGATCGTGGCGTGTCCATTGCGTTATGGGAAGCAAGAGATGTGATTGCCGAATCGCTATTCCTATGGGAGAACAGGTTCGGGTTTGAGATTTTCTCTTCTTCTATTTTCCCCCGGGAAAATCGAGATTTTCTCGTTATGAAATTAGTTCACTGTTAGGGTTTCGTCTCTCAATTGGGGATTGTCTCCATCATTTTCTATGTTGAAGCTTTTTTTTGTTGTTGTTGTGAAGGATGCAATAAACCCTATAGACTATGCAACTCGTGGAGTTTCTTAGAATTCAGATTTGTTTTAGTGATCTGTGAAATCTTTGATGATTTACACACACACGTTCAAATGACTTTTGTTTTCACTAATCTTTGGCTCAAATTCTGAGCATTGATGCTTTTTTCTTCTCTCTCTGATGGATCTCGAACTAATACTATATGGCTAACAGGGTTCAATTCTAGGTGTTGAGGTTGAGATTCTGGGAAGATCTTACACAACCCAATTGATCACAGCCGAAGATGGAAACGAATTGGAGAAAACGGCACAAGCTGAAAATGGTGGCTTCTTGAAACCAAACATATTCACCCTCACAATACCTCAGGTGATGTGGAAGTTTCTAGTCAAATGTTTCTTGTCCTTGTGATTATGATGCTTCTTTCTGATTATATAATACCATTTCTTTCTTTTTTTGTTTCCAGGTTGATGGAGGTACCAACCTCTCTATCAAGATGTCTTGGTCTCAGAAGCTGACGTATAATGAAGGGCAGTTTTTTCTCGACATTCCTTTCAACTTTCCTGAGTATGTGACTCCTGCGGTAAAGAAAATCTCAAAGAGAGAAAAGATACACTTGAGTGTTAATGCTGGTACGGGAACAGAAGTTCTTTGCAAAGGATGCAGTCATCCACTAAAGGTGTGTGTGTTTTTAGATATTTCTCAACACGCTTCATTATATTTCAGTGTATCATTTTATCATCATTTATTTTTTTTGTTTTCTTAATTGTAATACAGGAGAAATTGCGGAGCGCTGGGAAGTTGAGGTTTCAATATGAAGCAGATGTTTTAAAGTGGACGAACACAGATTTTAGCTTTTCTTATACGGTATGAATGAATTCTCACTGCTTCTTTAAATCTTTGTTGGTGCTCCAACGCCACATAGGCCCTAAACTAATTATAAATAGTCCTGGCGCTTTATAATTTGTTTGTTGAAAAATCATAGGCATCTTCAAGTAATATAGTTGGTGGGCTTTTCCTTCAATCTGCGCCTGTTGATGATGTTGATCAGAGAGATAAATTCTCTGTCTATCTTTTTCCAGGAAATCAGCGAAGTACCAAGGTTTGATTTTGTACTCTCTTTTTTCAGTTCAATAGATGCCATTTGCGTTACAATCTTAAGTTTCTTTTTGTCTACTGCAGGCATTCAAGCGGGAGGTAGTANTTGTTGTTGATTTGAGTAGAAGCATGACTGGAAAGCCTCTCGAGGATGTAAACAATGCAATATCCACAGCTCTAGCTAAGCTAAATCCTGGAGATTCCTTCAACATCATCACTTTCAGTGATGATACTTCTCTGTTTTCGACGTCCATGGAGTTGGTTACTTCAGATGCTGTTGAAAGAGGCATTGAGTGGATGAACAAGAACTTTGTCGTTGCAGATGGTACAAATATGCTCCCTCCCCTAGAAAAGGTCTTTCCGTCATTCACTTAGAGCTTTAAAAGCTTACCTTTTTTTTACTGTAGCCCTCTGATTGAGTCCTGGCATTAACTAAGCCATCCTGGTTAAATACTTTCAGGCTGTGGAAATGCTCTCCAATACTCGTGGCTCTATTCCTATGGTCTTCTTCTTAACAGATGGGTCTGTTGAAGATGAGAGACACATTTGTGATGTAATGAAGAAACGTCTTGCTAGTGCTGGATCAGTGTATCCTCGAATACACACTTTTGGGCTAGGTAAACTTTTCTCCGAGGCTTTGTTGTAAAATGACCAGGATTATCTTTTTATTTACCTTCTCATATGTGGACGCTTTGAAATGTCTCAGGTATATTCTGTAATCACTACTTCCTGCAAATGCTTGCAAATCTATCCAGGGGCCAGCACGAATCAGTTTATAATACAGGTAAAACTTTGACTCAGTCAGGTGAATTACATGAAAAAGTTATACCATATGTAATGTAGTTTCTTAAACAATTTTAATTTTTCTGATGTACAGATCACATCGAGGAACGAATGGACAAATTGTTTACAAGGGCTTTATCCACCGTTCTTGCAAATATAACAATCGAGCCCCTGCAAAATCTAGATGAAGTTGAGGTGGGCCTCTATGCTAAGATTACTTGCTTATCTTTTCTGGCAAATCGTTTATGTTTCCTTCGATTATTTGAATTTGATGCCTGGAAACTGAAAGTGTTACCTGTGATCTTTAATAGGTCTACCCTTCGGATATTCCTGATCTGACGTCTGCAAGTCCATTGATGATATATGGGAGATACCGAGGAAAGTTCCCTGAGAATGTGAAAGCCAGAGGTCTGCTAGGAGACTTGAGCAGCTTTTCTACAGATTTGACTGTACAAAGTGCAAAAGACATGCCTCTTGATAAAGTAATATCACATTCATTCTCGTAATCATCCGCAAGGAGCTTTCTTCTAACATATCTGGGTTTTATTTAAAGTGTCATTTCCGTAAAATGTTTCAGGTATTTGCAAAGAATGTAATTGATATGCTTACTGCTGAAGCATGGTTCTCTGAAGATAAACAGCTAATAGAAAAGGTTTGTTTAGAAATTGTAAATTACAATTCACTTACTCAATTTTCTTTTTCAGGATTTGCTTCTTTATTTTGCTTTTATCTTTTCCTTCTCAGATTGCTAAACTAAGCATCCAAACTAGTGTTCCATGTGAGTATACTCGAATGATTCAATTGGAGAACACAGAAGAAGCATCGAAACCCAGCGACACTGGCGCAAAGAAAAAGGTATTTATCCCATACAAACTAAAATCGTAACATTCAACCAAAACCTTGTGATATTCTGTTCCAAGGACCAAATCAGACTTGTTTTCCTAACACTCTTATATTCACCAAATATTTCAACAGACAGCGAGCAACGGTGAGAAACAAAAGATGATATCAAGAACGATCCCACTACAAAGCCTCGGAATAGGGTTTGGTGATACAACAGCCACCAGAGAAAATGTTCCACCGGGATTTGGAGAACAGAGAGCACCTGATGCTGCTGAGAAGTTCGTCAAGGCTGCCTCGAGCTGTTGTGTCTCCTTGTGCAACAAATGCTGCTGCATGTGTTGTGTCCAGTGCTGCTCTAAGCTCAACGATCAATGCGTCCTTGTCTTCACACAGCTCTTCACAGCGATTGCTTGCATCGCCTGCTTTGAATGTTGCTCAAATGTTTGCTGTGCTGGAGACGACGGGTAGTTATACGTAAAGAAAAAAAAAGGAAAGCCAGTTTCGAATTCAAGTGTAAAGATTGAAAAGCTTCAAAGTAAGTTTGTATATGTAATTTCTTTACGCCCTAGTCAAAATATAAAAGCTGTGTTTCTATTTTTGTATAGTTGCTTGAGGGGAGAAAGTGTAAAGAATAGACAAAATCCATGTGTTTCCTTTCACAATTTACTCTATTTCGATCTCTTAAACCATATTATATATATATAGAATGAGATTTTGGTGAACAACAAAGTCCACAAAGATGGGATCAAGTGTTGGGGATATTGTAACTTGAAGTCGTAAGAAGCTGATTTCGAGGGCTTATAGAAACTTGAACCCAATTTCTAACGTGCTGGCTTCTGGGATCTGTGGTTACTGTGTCTTTAAAAACATGGGACCACACTATTGATCATCTTTATCTCCTAAAGCTATTTCAAGGAGTTAAAAGATCATTGACAGAAAAAGAAATTTTCTTGGATACACACATATACATGTACTTAATTCTATTTTTTATGTCTCTGGAAATATGAAGG